ATAGTGGCTAAGACACTTGCCTGCTAACCAGACAGCTGGCGGTTCAAACCCACCAGCCACTCCTCGGAAGGAAGGTTGGGCAATCCTACTTCCGTAGCGATACTGCCTCGGAAACCCAAGGAGGGGTCGCTATGAGTCGGGTTTGACTCGATGGCACATAACAACAACAACAACAACAACATATATTGTTTTAGAAAACATTAATATTTTCTACATTGGCAAAGCTAGGCTCATAAAGCATATAATACAGGCATGCTAAATGGTCTCACATTAATTTTGGAAAGAGATTGGCTAACTGGATATGTAGGGAGGGAGGCAGAATGGTAGACAGGGAGATGGGGAGGCAGGAGAATAGAGTGATCAAGAACAGAGATGTTACCTTACAGAGAACAATCATGAGAGAAAGAAGGGCTGCTTATGCACAGGGAGACAGCTCAGGGGGCAGGAGTGCATGGAGGGATGGACACAGGGAAGCAGTAACTATTGGGAGGAAGTGGGAGGGGAGCTGTTGCATTATGGTAAATTGTTGTCAATGTCATGACACAAAGTGGATGTGAACTGCTATATGGAAAGTGAGTTTTCTCTGTAAATTTTCACCCAAATCACAATTAAAATAAAAAATAAAAAGAAAAGAGATGTTAGGAACACCGCACGAGAACATACTGGTGAGCACGGCTTGCCCACTCTCTGCCCTCGGCTGAGAATGTCAGCAAGTGCACAAGTTCATTAAGAGTCTTCTGTCGACTGTACATGTAGGAAGTGTTGAACTGGTGTATATTTTGCTGTGTAAATTTTCACCAAAATAAAAAAAGTATCCTGACCAAAAAGAAGAAGCAAGGATGGTGGAGATATTAACGTGTAAGAATGTCCAGAAAGTTTTCATTCTTCTTTCTGTTTTTCCAGAGCAGCTTTTTACCATGCCATAACCTTTGCTCTTTAATCTTTTACACATGACTGTCATTTCTGAGGCATTCTACTTGCTGTCTCCCATTTCAGTTCATAATGGCCCACATGTGTCAGAGTAGACTGTGCTTCACAGGCTTTGCAGTGATGGGTGTTTTAACAAGAAGTAAGTCACCAAGCCTTTCTTCTGAGGCCTTTCTTCTGGGTGTGCTTGAACCTCCAACCTTTCAGTTAGCAACTATTACCATTTGCACCACCCAGGACCTCACAACCTCACAGGATGATGTATAACTAAGGGCCAAGGAGCCCTGGTGTCAAAGTGATTAAGCCCTCATCTGCTAACTAGAAAGGTGGCAGTTCAAATCCAGCAGCCACTCCACAGGCAGAGTAGAAATGCTCTATAGGGTCACTATGAGTCAGAAACGACTCAACAGCAGTGGGTAAGGGCAAAAGATATTAGAAGATAATAGACCCAAATTCAGCCACTTCACAGTCTCTTTTACTTAGGATTAGATACCAGTGCTGTGATTCCTTTTAAAAGTATGTTTTTTGTTTAAGTACTACCCAGTCGTCCAGTAGCTTTCCTTGGGATAACCATTCTATTTACATTCATTGTAATATAAAATTACTGGCTCATTTATATAAATATAGTTGGCTTATGTTTTGGTTACCTAGTGCTGCTCTAACAGAAATACCACAAATGGGATGGCTTTAACAAACAGGAGTTTATTCTCTGACAATTTTGGAGGCGTTAAGTTCAAATCTAGGGGTTGGGTGAAAGGCCCTCGACCTCGGGCTTTAGCTCTACCTCCTGTTCCCGGCCCACTGAAGCTGGAGGCTTTTCTTCACTCAGACAGCTACTGGCTGCTGAGACTGACAAGCCAAGGTTGATGAGTGAAAAAGCACAGTACCAATGTTACCAAACAACATGGCAGGCCCCTAACTCAAGTCCAGAAGTGCCAAGGTCAGCAGGGCATGGCAGGCTGTTGAACAACAACTTGGTACAAGCAGGGTTCAAGCGTGCCAAAAGGCTAGCGACCATTCCCAAAGCTGCTTCTTACATAGAGGAAGCAGACCATATCCCTAAAGCAGCTACTCAGCTGCTCACAGCAAATTCCACCATGGAATTGACTGCCATTCTCATCATGGGGAATAACTACCACCAGCTTCCCAGCCACTCAACCCGGTCCAACCAAGTTGACACACAACCTTAACTACCACAGCTTGTATCAATAACAAGTCCAGAATAATATGTTTTAATGCTTAGAATTCTAGCTCTAAATAATTTAATATTTCTTCCTTTGATAAATGTTGTATTTCTCTAATAGGAAGTCTCAGAATGTTGAGATTACTTGGGGATAGAACATGTAGGTGATTCAGTCTGGATCTGAAGTATCTAACAGCTCTAACAGAAAAACAATTTGTAAATTCTCTTAGATTTCTCTAGTGGAAACATCAGTCTTTATTTTTTCTCAAAAAGATAGTAATATTATTGAGAAATCTGACTATTAATATCATCATTCAGCTAATTTCATTATCTTATATGCATTTTGTGAAATTTAGGTTTACAATATATCTTTTTTTTTTTTTTTTTTTTAATTCTTGTGATTTGGCTAAAAATTTACAGGCCAGATTCATTTTCCATACAGCAGTTCATACACGTTTTGTTCACCAGGGTTACAGGAGAGACAACGCAGGGACGCCCAGAGTAGCAAGCTGGAAGAGCAGGAGAAAGGGGATAAAATCCAGGAAGCCA